CCGTGTGTTAACATTTGAACATTTTCAGCTTCTTCTCTGAAACCACTCAACCAATTACAACCAATTTTGGCACAAAGCATCTATAGGTGAAGGGGAACAGAAATTGTGAAGGGGTGGGGCCAAAACCACTAAAATTAGTGCAATCTTTAAAAATCTTCTTCTTTACTCCTGGACATCAAGCAGTCAAACTATTTGCATGATTGAAATCAGCAATGAGTCCTCTACCAAAATTGTGAAATTCATGGCCCCAGGGTCAGGGGTGCAAGTGATAGGGCGGGGCTAAATAGACTGTATAGTGAAAATGCATTATTTCTTTGAAAATCTTTTTCTCTGCTCCTGGGCATTAAATAAGCTAACCAAGTACAAAGTTATGTTAAATAAGATTGCCTCTTTCAAAATTGTGAATTTCATGACCCCAGGGTCAGGGGTTCTGGTGTTGGGGTGGGGCTCTATTGGTTATATAGTGAAAATGCATAAATTCTTTTAAAATCTTCTCCTCTGCACTTGGATATTTTACCAACAAACTATGTACATATTTATAATAAGGAAGGACACTTCTTCCCAATTTGTGAATTTCATGGCCCCTGGGTCAGGGGTTTTGGTGTTAGGGCAGGGCTCTATTGGTTATACAGTGAAAATGAATTAATTCTTTGAAAATCTTCTTCTCTGCACCTGGGTATTAAACAAACAAACTAAGTACATAGTTACGATGACCGAGAATGCCTCTTTAAAAATTGTAAATTTAAACCCATGGGTGAGGGGTTCTGGTATAAGGGCAGGGCTCTTTAATTGTTTTTAGAGTGAAAATACATTAATTCTTTAAAAAATCAACTTCTCTTCTCCTGGGTATGAAATAAATTAACCAAGTACATGATTATATTGGATAAGTCTGCGTCTTCCAAAATTGTGAATTTCTTGGCCCCAGGGTCAGGGGTTCTGGTGTTAGGGCGGGGCTCTGTTGATTTTAAAGTGAAAATGCATAAATTCTTTAAAAATCTTCTCCTATGCTCCTGGGTATAAAACCAATGAACTATGTACATAGTTAGGATGAGGAAGGATGCTTCTTCCCAATTTGTGAATTTCATGACCCCTGGGTCAGGGGTTCTGGTGTTAGGGTGGGGCTCTATGATAATTAAACTTAGCTGTCTGTAAACAATTTTTCAAAATGTTACTCCTCCTACAGTTTTGGTCTGATTTCAATATAACTTGGCGCACAAGTAGACTACACTAAGATACATAATTCTGTGTATCGGTTTTTGATTTCAATGAACAGTGTTGCCGTGGTTACTAAAAATAGAATTCTCTGTGAAATTCCTTAAAAACGCTAATCCTCCTACAGTTTTGGTCTGATTTCAATATAAATTGGCACACAAGTAGACTACACTAAGATACATAATTCTGTATATCGGTTTTTGATTTCAATGAACAGTGTTGCCGTGGTTACTAAAAATAGAATTCTCTGTGAAATTCCTTAAAAATGCTACTCCTTGTACAGTTTTAGTCTGATTTCAATATAACTTGGCACACAAGTAGACTATACTAAGATACACAATTCTGTATATTGGTTTTTGATTTCGATGAATGGTGTTGCCGTGGTTACTAAAAATAGAAATTTCTGTGAAATTCTTTCAAAATGCTACTCCTTCTACAGTTTTGGTCTGATTTCAATATAACGTGGCACACAAGTAGACTACACTAAGATACATAATTCTGTTTTTCAGTTTTTGATTATGATGAACGGTGTTGCCGTGGTTACTAAAAATAGACATTTCTGTGAAATTCTTTCAAAATGCTACTCCTCCTACAGTTTTGGTCTGATTTCAATATAACTTAGCACACAAGTAGACTACACTAAGATACACAATTCTGTATATCGGTTTTTGATTTCGATGAACGGTGTTGCCGTGGTCACTAAAAATAGAAATTTCTGTGAAATTCTTTCAAAATGCTACTCCTTCTACAGTTTTGGTCTGATTTCAATATAACATGGCACACAAGTGGACTACAATAAGATTCATAGTTCTGTGTATCCGTTTTTGATTTCGATGAACGGTGTTGCCGTGGTTACTAAAAATAGAAATTTCTGTGAAATTCTTTCAAAATGCTACTCCTCCTACAGTTTTAGTCTGATTTCAATATAACTTGGCACACAAGTAGACTACAATAAGATACATAATTCTGTGTATCGGTTTTTGAAATTCTTTCAAAATGCTACTCCAAATACAATTTTAGTCTGATTTTAATATAAATGTGGCATGCAAGTACACTGCACTAAGAACATAAAGAGACTTAATTTAGGATCATTATTCTATTTATTGCTGTTGAAAAGTTTCTACTTTTCTCTTCCTTTGCTATAAGTACAAACCAGTAGAGCTTCTGTCTCGATAGAGACTTCTGGTTAAAAATATATTTTGATCAACATCACAAAATTTATACAACTGGCCCAAACTGGCAGATGATGAAATAAGCAGTAAAATGTTCTACTTTCATATTTGTAAGCATTATGTGTCCAGTGGTAAGGAGCCTATTAGGATAGCATAAAAAAGAATGTACAAATGTTAATAATTGATTTATCGAAAAAAAAAAATTATTTCCTTCTCCTTTGGGACTTTTTATCTCCTGAGCCAAAGGCTCAAGTGAGCTTTTCTGATCACAATCTGTCCGTTGTCTGTCGTCGTCGTCGTAAACTTTTTTCACATTTTCATCTTCTTCTCAAGAACCACTGGGCCAATTTCAACCTAACTTGGCACAAAGTATCCTTAGGTGAAGGGATTTCAAGTTTGTTCAAATGAAGGGCCACGCCCTTTTCCAAGGGGAGATAATCATGAATTTGTTAAAAATTAATGGCATTTTTAAAAAATCTTCTTCTCAACAATGACTGGGCCAGGAAAGATGAAACTCATATGGAAGCATCCTCAGGTAGTGTAGATTTAAGTTTGTTCAAATCATGACCCCAGGGGCAAGGGTGGGGCCAAAATGGCCGACCCAAGTTTTACATAGGAATATATAGGAAAAATCTTTAAAAATATTTTTCTCCAGAACCACTGGGCCAGGAAAGATGAAACTCATGTGGAATCATCCTCAGGTAGTGTAGATTCAAGTTTGTTCAAATCATGACCCCCGGGGCAAGGGTGGGGCCAAAATGGCCGACCCAAGTTTTACATTGGAATATATAGGAAAAATCTTTAAAAATCTTCTTCTCCAGAACCACTGGGCCAGGAAAGATGAAACTCATGTGGAATCATCCTCAGGTAGTGTAGATTCAAGTTTGTTCAAATCATGACCCCCGGGGCAAGGGTGGGGCCAAAATGGCTGACCCAAGTTTTACATTGGAATATTATAGGAAAAATCTTTAAAAATCTTCTTCTCCAGAACCACTGGGCCAGGAAAGATGAAACTCATGTGGAATCTTCATAATAGGTAGTGTAGATTCAAGTTTGTTCAAATCATGACCCCCGGGGCAAGGTAGGGGCCAAAATGGCCAACCCAAGTTTTACATAGGAATATATAGGAAAAATCTTTAAAAATCTTCTTCTCCAGAACCACTGGGCCAGGAAAGATGAAACTCATGTGGAATCTTCGTCAGGTAGTGTAGATTCAAGTTTGTTCAAATCATGACCCCTGGGGCAAGGGTGGGGCCAAAATGGCCGACCCAAGTTTTACATAGGAATATATAGGAAAAATCTTTAAAAATCTTCTTCTCCAGAACCACTGGGCCAGGAAAGATGAAACTCATGTGGAATCTTCGTCAGGTAGTGTAGATTCAAGTTTGTTCAAATCATGACCCCTGGGGCAAGGGTGGGGCCAAAATGGCTGACCCAAGTTTTACATAGGAATATATAGGAAAAATCTTTAAAAATCTTCTTCTCCAGAACCACTGGGCCAGGAAAGATGAAACTCATGTGGAATCATCCTCAGGTAGTGTAGATTCAAGTTTGTTCAAATCATGACCCCCGGGGCTAGGATGGGGCCAAAATAGCCGACCCAAGTTTTACATATTGATATATAGGGAAACCTTTTAAAATCTTCTTTTCAAGTACTTCAAAGCTATGATTAGTGATACAGTGGACCCATAGGAATATATAGGAAAAATCTTTAAAAATTTATCCAGGAAAGATGAAACGCTTTGGTTCCCAAGTTTGTCAAATTGTCAAGTTTTACATAGGAATATATGTGAACCACTGGGCCAGGAAAGATATCATGTGAATCATCAGTTAAACAAGCCAAAATGGCCGACCCAAGTTTTACAGAATATATAACATTTAAAAATTTCGAACCACTTCCAGGATGAAAAAATCGTCTCAGGTAGTGTAGATTCAAGTTTGTTCAATCATCCGGATATCAAAATGGCTGTCCCAAGTTTTACATAGGGATATATAGGGAAACCTTTTAAAATCTTCTTTTCAAGTACAAGCTATGATTAGTGATATTTATATGGAATCATCCTCAGGTAGTGTGGATTCTAGTTTGTTCAAATGATGAAAGCCTGGAAAGGGGGGGGGTAAATTCATGCCCGATGTGCTCAGGTGAGCGCTGTGGCCCCTGGGCCTCTTGTTTATTCTCATGGTCATAACTAAACCTAAACATAAAGAAAAAATGCTGGCCTTATAATGAAGAAAGGGGCCTCTTTCAAAATAGATAATTTCAGGGCCGCTGGGTCAGGGGTACCAGGGGGATACTTTGACTAAAAGTAAATTAATGCTTTGAAATCTGCCCTTTGATAAACAATGGTGCCTCTTTCAAAATTTGTGAATTTCATGGCTTTTGGCTTAAAACACTAACCAAATACAATCGCTGGAAAGCTGTTACATGATACTCAGGTGACCTATAAGGCCCGTGGGCCTCTTGTTGTATTGATGTTGATGCAACCATCTTGGTCCTTTTTTTGGCATGGCAATTATTTAACTGTATACTTGTTGACTTTTTATAAGAATATGCTATTGTATGTGCTGCACATTTTTCGGTATTGTAAACTTTTGTGTTGTTTATTTATTTTAAAGCTGCCAGGACTTCTAAGAGAAATCCATTCTTTGATGACTGATGGAAAAGCCTCATCACCCCCCACTGCTTAAGAACCCCTTATCTTAATCACCAGCCATTAATCAGTGATCACTGTTACCAAAGCTCCAAGGTACATTATTGAAGTCTCTGTTGACACCATTTTTCCAGTCTCTGACTTTGTTTTAAAATTAAGATTTTCACTTTTTTGCTAATTAATTCCTTAAAAAACAGTGAACTTCCTGTTTCTTAGCTAATTAGAGCTCATTGATTAGATTTGAATTATTTTTTAGCAGATAGCCAAAAACTACAATATTTCAGCTTTCATTTCATTCAAATTTTTTAGCTCACCTGAGCCGAAGGCTCAAGTAAGCTTTTCTGATCACATTTTGTCCGGCGTCCGTCTGTCTGTCTGTCTAGCTGTCCGTCTGTCTGTAAACTTTTCACATTATTGACTTCTTCTCAAGAACCGCTGGGCCAATTTCAATCAAACTTGGCACAAAGTATCCTTGGGTGAAGGGTATTCAAGTGTGTTCAAATGAAGGGCCACGCCCTTTTCCAAGGGGAGAAAATTATGAATTAGAGAAAAATTAATGGCATTTTTAAAAAATCTTAAGAACCACTAGGCCAGGAAAGATGGAACTCATGTGGAATCTTCGTCAGGTAGTGTAGATTCAAGTTTGTTCAAATCATGACCCCTGGGGCTAGGGTGGGGCCAAAATTGCCGACCCAAGTTTTACATAGGAATATAAAGGAAGAATCTTTAAAAATCTTCTTCTCAAGAACCACTGGGCCAGGAAAGATGAAACTCATGTGGAATCATCCTCAGGTAATGTAGACTCAAATTTGTTCAAATCATGACCCCCTGGGCTAGGGTGGGGCCAAAATGGCCGACCCAAGTTTTACATAGGAATATATAGGAAAAATCTTTAAAAATCTTCTTCTCAAGAACCACTGGGCCAGGAAAGATGAAACTCATGTGGAATCATCCTCAGGTAGTGTAGATTCAAATTTGTTCAAATCATGACCCCCGGAGCTAGGGTTGGGCCAAAATGGCCGACCCAAATTTTACATAGGGAAATATAGGGAAATCTTTTAAAATCTTCTTTTCAAGTACTTCAAAGCTATGACTAGTGATATTTATATGGAATCATCCTCAGGTAGTGTAGATTCTAGTTTGTTCAAATGATGAATGCCTGGAGGGGGGGGGGTTAAATTCAAGCCCGATGTGCTCAGGTGAGCGCTGTGGCTCCTGGGCCTCTTGTTTTCTGAATAATTCACTTATTTATTTTTTTCAAATTTTGAAATTAATATGCCAAAGATGAATTAGTACAGAAATTTAGCCTAAAATTCAATAATCTGTTAGGAAGAGTTATCTCCTATTTTTCATCCCTTAAGGACAAAGATAAATTTTTATGCACTAGTATATGAAAGATAAATAACTCAGAGACATTTTGTGCAATTTCAATTAATTTCATTAACTTTTAGTTGTCTTAAAGGTCTCATGCAAGGAAATAGCCAATCAAAATGAACTTAGTAATGAACTTAGTCAATTGAAGTTCCATATATTTAGAGACAATTCTTTTTCTTTTATCATTTTTGGCAATTTGTTTTAGGCCTACAGTATTAAAATTGGACTCATGTACTAGGAATATCATTTCTTTAGCAGAATTATCCCACTGAATTAAAAGGAACTCTTTTTTCAGGTGCGCATGATGCAGCTTCCTGGATGGTGTGTAGGCTGTTTGTCAACATGTGAATCCCATGTGCATTTCGGGGTAGGTAAGTTTACTGTCGTTTTTCTTTCTTAAAAGCCGCATAAGGCATATTTTTACTGATCTCAAATTTTTGTTCAAGCATTAATCTTTATTTTCTCTTTCATGAATTTTCTGCTGAGAGTCTAATAAATTAAATAATTTAATTAAAGCTATATTGTAATATATAGTGAAATTATTTCCTTTTGTGAGACCTTAACACTTTTTTTTAAGAAAAGAGAGGTCAAAGGAAAGGTTGGGGTCAAAATGTTGTTGCAGTTGAAAAGCTTACATCAGTATGAATTTACTTTTAGCATATGAAGTTTGATAAGAATATAATTAATGGTTTATTTAAAACTTAGATAAACACATATTTTAAAAATTGAGGTCAAGGTCAAAGGAAAATTCAAGGTCAAAATAAGTTGATGCATTAATTGCTCTCAGCAGTATGTATCAGCATATGAAGTTTGATAAATATATCTTGAACTGTTTATTCAAAACTGATCTAGACATTAATATTAGAAAAGTGAAGTAAAGGTCACAGGAAAGGTCAAGGTAAAAAAGAGTGAAGCATTGTAAAACTTACATCAGTATGTATCATCATGTGAAGTTTCATTACACAACTTGAATGGTTTCTTTACAATAAAGCCAAACACTAATTTAATGAAAAGTTAAAAGAAGGTCAAAGGAAATGTCAAGGTAAAAAAATATTGCTGCAGTTGTATAGTTTACATCAGTATGCATTAACATATGAACTAGCTTTGATAAATATATCTAGAAAGTTTCTTTAAGCCCGATGGAAAGACAGATGGAAGGGTGGGGGACAGACATGACAAAAACTATACATGTATTCCTTCCTACTCATTGCGTGGCATAAAAAACTTGAATCTACATTATATGAGGATGTTTCCATATCAATACTATATACAGGGTTATTTTAGCCCCATGTTATTTTCGCCCTTTTGCACTTGCAAACAATTTTGCCCGGTTTTAAATTTGTCCTGTCATAGTTCTGCCTAAGAAATTAAACTGTGTAATTTGAATTCGCCCCGTTTTAAATTCGCCCAATCAAGAAGAGGGCGAAAGGGACGAAAATTTCCCTGTATACAGTATTATACAAGCAAATTCAAAGAATCGTGGTCTTCTGCTTTCTGTGTTTCAGTGAATGGGATGCCATAATTTATGGCAGATTGTGTGTCAAATATGCACTCCTATCATATGTCAATTTTTGAAAATTAGGTCAAAGGGGAAAAATCATAGTGAAACGGAAATGGTTGTTGTTTAGTTTCGTAAAAACGTTAGACCTATGTTTTTATATAAATTCTTAAACACTAAAAAATATTAATTCTCAGATCATACAAGTAGTATGAAACTGCCTATGCAAGGGGCTGCACTGAGGTAACACATGCTGTGTAACATGAATTTAGGGGACCTCTCTGGTGACGGAGGGAATAAACATTAGTTTGTTTCTTCTCTTACATACGGTCGTAAGACCTGAATAAGGCAGACGGTTGTAGGGGATAAACAGCTAAGTGTGTCACAGTACACCAAAGCACGTTAGACCTGAATAAGGCAGTCACTTGGTTGTAGAGAGAGGTGGCATACCACAATTAGAGGTGGGGGAAGTGTCAAGATGCAGCAGTACTAGTGGAGAGGCAGGACAAGAAGAAATTTACTTGCGGGAGACAACCGTTGACCACAGTTAGTGGTTGTCCAATCAAGAAGAAACCCATTGATCAGTACATATTTGAGTATAATCGTATTGGTCAACAAAAACTTGAGTTAACAGGTTAACGAACCTAAGTGTTACGCCTCGGTGATACAAACCATATTATCACCAAACATATAAGCTTGGCCGTGTTGCACATTACATTATTTGGTGGCAAGCGTCGGGGTTTTGTTGACCATGGATTCGTATAAGTGTCAGAAACTATAGAGCGAATGGAGAAGCTCTTAGAAAGGATGAGAACGCCAACCAGTGACGGTGGTCAGACAAATGCTGCAAGCCGAGAGTCTGGATATGCAACACACAGTACTGATAATACCGGTATGTCAGGAGAAGTGTCATTTGACGAGTACGGCGCAAAGTTCGATTTTCAGACAAAGGCAAACCAAGCTACACATCAATTGCTGGGGTTGACGACTTTGTGACGGGCCATCTGTTCGACACACTAAAACCACATAGGCAGTCAATAGGGACAGACAATGCAAAGACAGGGCATAAAATCAAGCCAGCCACGTATGACGGTACCAGTTCCTGGCTTGACTACAGATCACATTTTGAGGCTTGTGCTGTTGTAAATGGCTGGACAGCACCAATTTACCTGAGTTGGACGGCAACACCAAACAAAGCTAATTTTATTTTTGGCCTAATATAAGTAAATATTTTTGAAAAATAGGTTTAACTTCTATGCAAGTGAGTTAAGTCTACATATGGAGGTTTCTATGCAAAATGTCTTTAATTAAATTCAATAATTGCTCTACCTACCGCACAGAAAATGTTAAGACTTAATTGTTTTCTAATACATTCTTGGTACCCACGACATGCAATAGCAAGTGCACATTATGACGTCATCGACCTCTTCTACACAAGTTTATAAGAAGGACATGGAGATAACGAACAGTATTCAATCTCAACGTCCATTAAACAATATACAAAATAAGAGCAGAGCAAACACGGACCTCCGAAACATCAGAGGTGGGATCAGGTGCCATGGAGGAGTGAGCATCCCCTGCCGACCGGTCACACCCGCCGTGTGCTCATTGTCATGATCAGGAAATAACGTAAAAAATCCGTCATCAATTCAGTGTTTAAATAATGGACTAACAATTGGTATGAAAAACGTCAGTCAGCATTTGACCCAATGATAAATTATATTTGCTGACAAGGTCATTGTATCGACCATAAAATTTACGAAATGATGACTTTAATCGAGACTGTTCATATTCCTGTTTCATCAACTTGCTTGTCAATAATTTACCTCGTTTAAGAAATTGTTCATACGTAGAGCATGCTCTTGCATATTGAATCAACTGAGATATATATACTCCGTATGCAGGTGATGAAGGTATATTGCTGCTTAAGTAAGGGAAGTTGACGATAGAAAAGTTAAAGACATCACGTTTATCATATAGCTTGGCTGTTAGATTACCATTAGTGTCTTTTTCAAGTAAAATATCCAAGTATGAAGCAGAAGTGTCGGACTCTGTGGTATCTTTTATCTCAAGCTCACCAGGATTTATCGTATCGGCTTAGGAATGGAAATTATCATTAATAATTGACAATACATCATCGATATATCTAAATGTCGAGTTGAAGACCACAGCAAGTGTTTTCTTCTTTTCACGCATAAGATTTTGCATAAATTCTGCTTCATATGAATATAAAAATAAGTCTGCTTATAACAGGGTGCAATTTGTACCCATGGGAATTCCAATAGATTGTTGGAATACCTGGTCTCCAAAAACCACATAGATATTGTCAATCAGAAACTCAAGCATCTTCTTGATGTCAACTTCAGAGTACTTATGTGTGCAATCAGAATCTGTTTTAACAAAATAATTTTTCAAATGACCAATGACGAGGTAAGTAATTTACGAGTTCCATTTTTGTTGAAGAAGCAGCTGTCAATGATATCAAAAAGCCTTGATTTTAATTTGTTGTGGGGAATTGTTGTGTATAAAGTTGAAAGTTGTAAGTTTTTAAGCTGTTGATTTTTGTCAGTCTGAGTGATTTCAAATTGACCAAAAGTTTTTTAGAATTTTTAAGTATCCGTCATGCTGATTTGCACCACTTCTTGAATATATTTGAACATTTTGAAGTTTTTCCTTCTCTGTCAATATTTTAGTCAACCAATTTCAACATTTTGGCACAAAGCATCTGTGTTTGTAAGGAACAAAAATTGTGAATTTCATGGTCCAATATATATGGGGCAGTTCAAATTCATTTTGGCTCTGTGGAATATTAAAAGTACTCAAAATGACAGGTGATTTTGAAAAATTTCTTCCTATGAAAGAGAAGACATCAAGTAGGATTAAACTTGTAGAATTAAATCCTTGATTGTAGAATGCAATATGAGCCTTACAAAACGAAACAATGTTGTTACCTGCTTTGTCAGCAGGAACCAAGTGCTGATCGTGTAATCTATCTAATTCTTTTTTCACTTCTGGTTTATTGAACACAATGCATTGGTTTTCATTTTCAGCAAAATCGCTTCTCTGCTCAAGGGCATACCTTACTTTGTTTTACAGAAACAAGGTATAAAGTTATGCAAGATATTAAGGATTTAAGATATTGCTGCACAAATTGTGCACTGTAATTGTTAAGTCACAATCTGTGCAGTTTGAAGTTTAGACAGGGTAAAAATTCACAGTTATATAGGAAAATAAAATTAAAGTTTTTAAAATTCCGCCCGCCTCATTGAAATATTTTATTGGAAAAATATTGGAAATATTTTTTTTACCGTCTTATGTCCAACATCGCTTTTTACAAGTTAGTTCGTTCTTCAAAATAGCTTTTTAAAGTCGGGTTTGAGCTCACATAAATTTAACAACACCGGTCAATAAAACGCTTTCTTCATAGTATTTATGATATAGGGAATATACATGTTATTTGACAAACTGAAAGCCTCCAAAATGTCAGATTCAAGTTGCATCAGTTGATGTGAAAACATTCAAGCGTTGAAGACCAGAACATTTATGCATCTTCATAAAAGTAAAAGATTAATAAAAAAATTAAATGGAATGATACACCGATACCTGGAAAGAGCTATTGTAATAGATTGCCCTTTGAACTTGATAGGATAAGTCCGTCATGTTGAAATTAAAAATGATCGTTCAGTTCCTAGTTAAAACATAGGTAATCAAAGATTACGAAGCTCACCTCGACGAATATTATCAGTTTATGTAATGCAAATCTCACATCATATTTTCTTAATATTTAGTATTCAGCCCAATAACAATATTCTTGCAAGTTGTGTTTAACCCCTTACATGGCATATATACACATTTCTATGCGTGTAGTGGAAAA